GGTGTCCTCTGTGTCTTTGTAGTGTGGAACCAGGTGGTTGTACAGAGGAGCAGGGGGTGAAGGGGGTCCAGTGAATTGTTGCCGGGGCGTGGGCTGATTTGACATCTTCCGTGCAACTCAGGACCAATGTGATGTGTTTTGTAAAGTGCTACCTGAGTGTAAAATATTACATGGTCGTGGTAGCCAGTGCATGGCACAGCTGCAGTTGCGCCTGCCCTCTGGCCCTGGCTTCTTTCCTGATGTGAGAGCTGGAAGGTGGACAGGAGATGTAGGGAAAACTGGACCTCGCCCAGAATGATCCAGAGCCATGTGCCTGGCCTGCACTCCACTTCCAGTGACCTCTTGCAGACTCGCTGAGGTGTGAAACTGTGGAAGGCGTTACTCTGTGCAGTGTATGGGGTGGGAGGTTCAAAACTCTGGGTGCAGAGCCAGAGTGATTTGAGCTCCAGCCCCAGCTTCCCACAGCCTAGCCCTGCAGCTTGGCCTCTGTAAGTCTCTGCTGCAGCGAGGATGGTAGTGGCACTGTGCTAGTGCTGGCTTGCTGGGCTGCTGAAGATCGCGATGGCAGCAGCTGCTGCCTACAGCACTTCCTCCTTCTCAGCCTGTGCCTTTGCATCTGCTTAATGTCTTGGGCTTCCCTTGTAAGTTTCCTATATAAATGCGGGGAGCTCCTGAGAGAATGTGCTCTGGGAACCCGATGAAAGAGTGTGTAGAATAACCCACCCCACGTAAAGGCCTCTACTTTAAAATTTAAAACATGTAACAGTTTGCCTGTAAAACGTGTTGCAGCTGTGACTGTCACAAGCTCCAGAGACTACTCTCTCACCTTGGGAGCCATCAACCAGACTGGCTCCTACCGTGTGCACCAGAACATCACTTTCCAGGCGTGCAGGCACGCGGGACACCAAGCCGTCCCCTCCTCCCAGCAGCTGTGGGTGGACCGCGTCTTCGCCTTGTACAGTGCGGATGAAGGAGTGCTTCGATTTGCTGTGACCAATCAGATTGGCCCTGTGAACGGTAAGTAAGGTTCCTTAGTTTTATCATTGTGCAAAAAGCGATCTCTTTTTTGAAAAGTTCAGAGGTTAGCAAGGCTTGGTGAGTGCTGGGCTCTGTGTTAGGTGCTGAGTGTAGGATGAATAAAGCAGGGTCACTGGAGCTTTATTCAACTGTGAAGAGAAATGTGTGTGCTACATACAACATGGGTGAACTTTGAAAATATCATGCTAAGTGAAAGAAGCCAGATGCGCTCGCACACGCACACAGCATATTGCACGATTCAATTTATATAGAATTTCCAGAATAGGCAAATCCACAGAGAGAGCAGGTAAAGGTTGCCCGGGGCTGAGGGATAAGAAAGGGATAAGGAATTAACAGCTAAAATGTACTGGGCTTCTTTTGGGGTGATGAAATGCTCCAGTGATTGAGTGTACTGACGTGGGAGCCATGTGGTTTCCCATAGTTTAGATGCAGAATTATTGTCTTTCTGGTGAGTAGTCAGAGCTTGAAAACCCGCTGTCTTCCCAATCACCAGTCCGTCCTCAACTGTTTGAGCTTCTAGTGGGGTTGGCCGTTGTCTGCAGTGTCCTAGAACAGGACCCTGAAACACGTCCTGTCCTTCCTCTGCAGAGGTCCTTTCAGTGAGCTGAGATTTAAGGCAGAGGGCTGTGCAGTGAGGCTAAACGGCTGTCCCTTTAAGGAAACCATGCTTCCCTTCTTGGTTAAATGAGCAAATTAGTTCCAGATCCTCCGTCAGAGTCAGAGTTCAGCAGTGTGTGTGGATGAGATGCTGTTCTTACTGTGATTAGGAGAAAAGTTAACAGCCTTAAGGAATGAAAAGTGAAACGATTTTAGAAATGTATTCTGAAAATATTTGCAGATCTGAGGGTGTAGCTCAGTAATACAGTGCTTGGCTGGCATCCTAGAGGCTCTGGTTCAAGCCCTAGCACTCCAAAATCTATTTATTTTTAGAAGTAAAGGGCTCTGTGCTTGGTTTAATGCTCTGCTATCAGTGAAATTCTTAATTTTGTTTAACAGTGGGCTCTGCATTTTCATTTTGCACTGGACTCTGTGAATTATGTAACTGGCCCTATCTGCAAGTATGTTTTAAAACAGTATCATATCATATAATTAGGGGCATTTCCTTCTCAATTTCATGTGTATCCTGTCCCAAGTTGGTACTTCGTCACCTCTGAGCTGCTTTTAAAATTTATTTTTTTCTTAGCGCCTAGCAGGGTGGCAAGCTTTTGACATCCACGGGAACTCACTAATCTTGGTTGGAACGTACTGGGCTGAAATTTTGATGCTGCAAAATACCGAATAAGAAGGCTGAGCCTTCGTATTTATAAACTAAAACATTCTGAAGATCACTTTCCCCATTGGCAAGGTATGCCAGGCATTTTGCTCAGAATCTTCTCCTAAAATGGAGAACTGATGTTGGGGAGAATCAGGTTCCTGTCTTGTTTGCATTGAGTGTTCAGTGAGCACATGACCCGGCTGCTCTCCGTTGGGACACATGCTGGTTCTTACTCCAGCACCTTCAAGTTAACTCAGCAAGCGAAACCCCGGTGCTGTGCTTCCTTCCTGCTGACAAGAGGCCAGAGGAAAAGATTTCCAAGGATGTTTGTGTGATTCGGAGAGGTTGGCATATGCTGGCATAAGCTCAGCAAGTTTAAAAAGTGTCGGAGAAGGGGCCGGGGATTTAGCTCAGTGGTTTCACTGCCTGCTGCGCAAGCGCAAGGACCCAAGTTCGATCCCCGGTATCTGCCCTCCCGCCAAAAGTGTCAGAGTCGCTTGCTGGTCTTTTCTTTTGACAAAGGTTCTATCAGTCCAGTCCGAGTAGACTGAGGGTAGACTGTAGCCCTCCTTATTTTCAGGGAGTAATACAGGAATTGGTAATATGGGGGTACTGTGCTGTAGGAGCGTAGGGTGATGTTTCTTATAAAGTGGGTGATGCTGGGAGTTTACCACAAGGTGAGAGTGGCTCAGCCAAGGGATCTTAGTTGACAGCAGACTAATAGAGAAAATTGGAGGAATGGGGACTTGGGCAGTGGGGAGAGGGGCAGATGTCCCAAGGGCTGGGAGGAAGCCTGTCCGTGAGGCAGGCTGCAACTGCAGGCACTTGGATGTGGACTGAGAGCTACCTTGGGCAGCTCCTCTCCCATATGAGGTCAGGTGGCCCTGTAGGGAGATGGGTGGAATGGGAAGGAGGGAGAATCCAGGAGGGCTTGGTCCTGCCAAAGAGTGTCTACAGGCACTTGGCGCTGGTTTCCAGGGTGGAGAGAACTGGCGTGAGCAGAAGAATGTGGAGTGTACTAAACTGCCTTGAAATTTTCTGAGTCTAAGATTAGAATTAACCGTAGGAACTGAGACAAAGCTAAAACCTCCAGTGAGGATGGCCATGGCCCCACTGAGGGAGGAAGGAGGAAGGCAGCCACTGGATACCTTGAGACCTGCTGGTGTAGGGATCGTCGTCCAAATACATCGTGTTGGGCTTTTTTAAAAAGCAATTCTGGCAGATAAAAACATTTTTTAACTTCTCTTTTATAGCTGAGGAATCCGAAGTAAACAAGTACCCAGAGTTTAGATTGATTTTCTGGGCATGGAGCTCTCTCCAGCACTGCTGTCTGCCGGACTTTGATGTGATAACCTTATAAAGTTCTGGTTGTGGCAAAATGGCACAGAATGGGGCTGTCTGTATTCTTACTGTGGCTCCATCCACCTCGTCTGACTGTGTAACCTTAGGTTACCTGGCCTCTGGGAGATGCATGAAAAGTAAAGATATAATAACAATATTTGATCTACACTGTAGTTAATGAGGATTTAATGGGGCGGCTCGTGCGCTGGGTTTAGAATAGGGCCAGGCACATAAATGTGCAGCGAGCATGAACCGTTATGTTGTCTCTAGAAGCAGAGTTCTTTAGGGAAGATTTCAGACATTTACAGCCATCCCTGCTTAGTGCATGGATGGATCCATGACAAAATTAATCTTGAAAGCAAGATTTTTAAATTGTATTTTACCCATAGAAAGAGTGAATTTTAGTGAGAGACTGTCCCAAATTTAGAGCCAGGAATTTGGATATTGAGTCCTTGCTGAACCACTTCCTGTGTGGCTTGGGGTAATTTTCCCCATGTCTCTAGCTCACTGTCCTTAGCTGTGAGACTCCCCATCATGGGGATAGCAGCCTGGGACACAGTCTTCTTGAGACTCACAGCAGATAGAGCAAAAGCTCTTTTACTTTATTTGTTTATTTATTCATTTATTTATTTGAGACAGGGTCTCACTGTGCAGTTCAGGCTGGCCTTGAACTCAGTATGTGGCCCAGGCTGGCCTTGAACTCAGCAATCCTCCTGCCTCAGCTTCCGGAGTGCTGAGACTACAGGCGTGAGCCACCACATCCGGCCCAAAAGCTTTTTTAAATGAAAGGAAGTATTGGATATTTTTATTCCCTTAGACGTGAACCCACTGAAAGCAAGAAAACTTGTCTATAGGATAGGCAAAAAGGAAGTCATCCTGGAATTTAAACCAGAGGTGCAGATAATCCAGCCCAGCTTTGCATGTTAATAACTTAGTAAAGTCTCCGCATGTGACACAACACACAAATGTGCACACTGTCAATTCCAGGGACTCCTCTCCCCGTCCTTCCTTGCACCTGCTCTCTGTAAATCAGCCAGCGAGTGTTTGTTTCCTCTCCACCCATGCAGTGGACTCCGAGCCCACTCCAGTGAATCCTTGCTATGATGGGAGCCACACGTGTGACGCAGCAGCGCGGTGCCATCCAGGGACAGGCGCGGACTACACCTGCGTCTGTGCACCTGGTTACCAGGGAGACGGACGGAGTTGCATGGGTGAGAGCGCGCTCGGCTTTTGTCACCGACGCCTTGTTTTTACTTTGCTACCTCCAGCTTTGTATGTGGATGACATATATCTGTGGTCTCTGTGACCTCCATTGATTAATAAGTTTTAGCAACTGTTAATCTGAATGCAATTATGTGAAAACTAAAACTAAAACATCGTCTAGTTAGGTTTGAAAAGATGGTTCAGGGTGGGTGTTTTGGACTGAAGCTGTAGAAAGAAAATATGTTTTGCAATTCTTGGATTTTTTTTTTTAATTCTTGGATATTTTAAGGTTTATAATTTTAACCTTTATTAAGTATTTGGTAGATTTACTAAAAGGCACGTTTCCAGATTTTCTTTAAATTTCAGACATTTTGTTTCCTCCACCTGCTGTATCCCAAAAAGCAACTAGAAATTTCTTCATATTTCAAAAGATTGCTAGTGTGTTTTTCTTCAGAATATCTATTATTATTATTTTTTTTGGTACTGGGGATCGAACTCAGGTCCTTGCGCTTGTGCATCAGGCGGTGAAACCACTGAGCCAAATCCCCGGCCCAATGTCTATTATTTTTAAACATTTAAAGAATTCTTAAAATAGTCATTCAAAAATGATCTCCCTGTGGCACACACTGGAAGCAATCGAAATGAATTTTTATTTCTGATTATCTGCCACTTTCATTCCTTCCTGATGTATAGAAATCCTGCACCCCTACTCTTGCTGAGACCATCTACCATCAGTCTCATAGAAGCATCAGAACAGTGGGGAGACTTAAGTTTTCAGACCTTGCCTTGCTGGGAACCCTGATTTCAACAGTACTTTTCTGTTCACGTTTCCTCTTAGATGTAAATGAATGTGCGAACGGCTACCATCGCTGTGGCCCCAACTCTGTGTGTATCAACTTACCCGGCAGCTACAGATGCGAATGCCCCAATGGCTATGAGTTTGTGGATGACCAGCACACATGCATCTGTGAGTACCAAAATTGCTTTGCTTTTTGGTCACAATGGCACTCAATCTTGCTCTTTAATTTGTTAATGTTTCTGCTATCCAGAAGCTCTGCTCTGTGATTTTCTTGAAAACAGCATGGACATTGCAATAACCCAAGCCTATGGTTCAGTTTAGCCCTGTTTATTGAGACAGTTTTCCCATAAATAGATATTTTTAGGCATGAGTTATGAGGGGACGTTCTCAGTTGGGATCACAGCCAACAAGACTATGTATCTCTCTAGTGAATGCCCCAGCCCTCAACTCAACTTAAGAGGTTCTAGATTTGTAATTCAGAGGTCTTGTCTCACATCTGAATCCAAAGACCCTCATCCATAAGATGCTTTTCCAGGGCTCTAAAACATACTTTGGATCTAAAAATGGACCCAAAAGAACTAGGATTCTAAGTTCATCCCACAGGTAGAGCTAGATGGTAATAGAGAAGATACAATCCAATGTGATGACAAAGTAACAGTGATGGTAGACACTGTGTGTGTGTGTGTGTGTGTGTGTGTGTGTAGCACTTGTGCTGAGGACTTACAAACTTCAGTCAGGGTCTATTTGGATGACTGATTTTCATGCCTAATACTTTAACCTCAAAACCATACATGTTTCTCAAACCTTTATGTGTGTAGCAGCTACCCAGAAACATCACTAATTGAGATTTGGGAGCCCTGTGAGCCCCGGATGTGCCTGTGCCCTGTGCTGTTGGCCTGCGGATGGTGCTGGGAGCAGCAGGGTTCCTCATTCACTGCGCTGAGCCCTTTTGCACATCTCCATCTTCTTTCCTCAGTGGTTGCCCCTCCTCCCAACCCCTGCGAGGACAGCAGGCACAACTGTGCCCCTGCTGGGCAGGCCCGCTGCATTAACCACGGAGATGGCACATTCAGCTGTGCCTGCCTGCCAGGCTACACTGGCAACGGGTACCAGTGTTCTGGTGAGTATCTGCGGGCCGGCCTTGGGGATCCTGGAGGCTGCTGGATGCACAGCTCCACAGAGATGGGGGGCCTCTGCCTTCCCTCCTTTGCCTCAGACAGCCTTGGCATTGCCCAAGGAGAAAAAGATGTCTCTGGAGTCGGGAAGGGAGGCTGGGTGACTTTCCTGTGACAAGACAGTTGTCCTTGGAGGAGACATCCTTGGAGTTCTCCTGAGCTGCTGCCAGCTTTAACCTCCTGTTCCTCGGAGCTAGAGCTCAGCTGGAAGGACTGACACACACAGTTCTTAGTTCTTTTTCTCTCATTTTTTCCTCTTCCCACAAACATCTGGTGAAAAGGAGTGGGGGCCATGCTATTGAGATCTGCTCTGAAGGTCGCAGGAGTCACAGGGTCCTTAGCACATCAGGTATCTGGCAGCAGAAGCAGACAACAAGTTAAGGAAAGGACAAGAGCTTGGATCTTGGGGTTCAGTTCCCCAACAGGCCCTTCCCCTTGCATTCCAAGCACCTCTCCCACCATTCTGTCATCCCCAGCATCTCATTTTACCATAACTATACGGGGCACTGACATGAAACTGAGTTTCCGTCTGATCACATATGACCAGGTAGATTTAGAAAACCATTTTTTTGAGACAGGGTTTCACTATGTAGTTCAGGCTGGCCTTGAACGCGCTATGTAGCCCAGGCTGGCCTGAAATGCACAGTGATCCTCCTACCTCAGCCTCCCTAGTGCTGGGATCACAGGTGTGCGCTCCTAATAGTTTATGCAGCCTTATTGTATAACAGTACTACTACTAACAGTACTATTGTATAATCAGTACTACTACTGATCTAGTTTTATGAACATTTACACTGAAAGAATATAACAGCCTCCTATCGGGACAATCAAAGGATATCAGAGTGTAAATTTTTAAAAAGTTTATCACAGTAAAAGACACTTTGCTAAGAATGATGGAATAAGTGTGTTTGAAGCAAGGGAGAGTGTTTTACATATTCTGAGGGGGGTTGACAGCAGTGCATCTTTTACTGTAATAAAGTTTTAAAATTAAACATGCACTGTATTTTTATCACTCTTGTATGCTGAAAAATTTAAATTTGAATGAGTAACCCTGTGTTCTAGTTTAATGACCTTATAAAATACTGAAATGATGTCTTAAAGAAAGAATTCAGGGAGTAAAGTGTGTGTCACAATAATATCCTTTTATATTTGTAGAGCTCTTTCTTCCTCTTATTTTCCTTATCAGCTCTCTTTCTCTTCCTTTGTTGCTTGCTTTCTCATTCTCATTGTGCTTTCTTCTCTCTCTCCTTCCCTTCTTCCCCTCTTCTACCTGTGATGGGTATGAACTTCACAGATGGAGGGGAGCCTTTGTTGGCTGTGGGGCCAGGCTGGTGTGCACAACCCTGACCATGCAAATAATGCTTTTTCCACCCCTGTGGAATTCATTCAGTTTTACCGAACCTACCTGTAGCTGTGAGAAATGAGAAGGCATAGAGAACAAAAATCTTGCCTGCAGAATTTCATACAGGCTGCTGAAGTAGCTGAGATGGTGCTTTTGGGGTATTTAATTCCTTAGCTCTAAGCAAAATAGTTGAAATTGCAACCTAGGTATGATGACTATTAATCAGTGTTAATTTAGGTTCTGTGCTTCTTGCTTTACTCCTTTTTAGAATCATTTTCTTTCCTTTCTCTCATGTCTGCTTGTCCTACAAGATGTTGGTTACTCTCGGGGACCATATTACACCCCTAAAGTTGGCTGCTTTTCCACCCTGAGAGTTTCAGAGTATTGGCATTCTTGGTTGCTACTGCAACTCTCTGGAGGCTGCAGGCCAGATGTCAGGCAGGCAGGGCGCACCCTGGGAAAGGAGCTATTCCTGGTGATGAGCAGGCGTCAGGACTGTTGGGCTGAGATCTTAGCTCCTTGCTGGCTGCTGCCAGTCTTCTCTTTCTTGCGACGTGGGCCTCTCCGACACAACAGCTTGGTTTATTAAAGCCGGTGAGACAAAGCCTGCTAGCAAGATGGGAGTCGCCATTGCAAAATGATCTCCCCGTCCATGTTACTTTATTGTATTGGTAACAAGCAAGTTGCTCAAAGGAAAAGGGCGACATAAGACCCTACCACTGAGTAGGATCACTCGGGGCCACTGTGGAGCTTCCCCCACAGCCAGTCCCGTGTAGTAGGCTTCTGAGCGGTCAGATTGTGTGGCAGTCAAGAATAAATTGTCATTTTCCTTACAACCCTGCATAAATTAGGCAAGAATAATCAGGACAGTAACTTGCAGAACAAGCTTACACTGTGTTCCTGTGTAAGAGTGGGCTATTATTTAAAGGTGTTCCACAGCGTCTGGATGACCAGCGATCTTGGATGGCAGCTCTGTTTTGTGGGTCGTGTGATTCTCAAGGTGCACACCCTTTTACTCCATCACACTAACCATTGGAGGGTGTGTGGGTTTTCCTCCAGCCATGCTTGTTCAAAACCAGGCTCCGTGGAAAGGCTGCACTTGGATTTGGGTTCTCAGTCTGGATGGAGTCTGGCAGGAGGCTTTTCTCCAAATAGAGTTAAATCCCCTCCAGCTTTGCTCCATCTGGAGTGATTTCGATGCTGTGTCGGTGTGAGCTGGATGTGTCTCACGCGCGTTTGTCCTTATGGATCTTGGTGATTTTGCTGCTGCGAGAGCAGATTGTCTGGAGTTGGCGCCTTCCCAGGGCGGAGCAAGCGTGAGTGGAAGAAGCTGGGCTGCAGATGGGCCGTTACCAGAGCTGTCGGCACACAGGACCAGTGTGAATGGAGGTGCAGACCTCATTCTCAGATTTTCCGTGCTCGGAATGTAGATGTAGGATGAGGCCTGGCACAGTCGCTGTGGCCACAGGGAGAAGTGAGAATGGGAACTGAAAGGACATCTGTTATCCTTGCGGGTCCCGGAGGGGTCACCTGCCCAAGGCACAATCTGCAGGATGTTTGGATGGATAACAGAGAGCAAGAGAGTGACGACTTGGGCCAAAGCAGTGATTTTACTGGGGCCCTGGCTGGGGTCAAGATTAACTGGCACCAGGAAATGGCAGTGGGCTCAAAAGTGAAAGGGAGGTGGAGACTGGAGTTCGGTGCTTGGGATGCTACCAAGGAGTCCAGCTGGTTTTCCTCAGAGCTAGGGCCAAGAAGGAAGTTGAAGCATAAGAGCAGAATGGAGGGATTTAAAGCACATTTTCCAAACCAGTTTTTGGGGAGCTTAAGAGATGATAAAGTTGTGCTAGAAGTGACCGCCTTCCGATGGCAGCATGGTACAAGGGTGTGACTGTTCCCTGGCCTTGCTTGTCTTGACCTTAGTCTCTTACAGTCCCTGAAGATTCCTCTACTGATGGTACCCAAGGAGAGCACTTGCCTTGCTGAGGGCTGAAAGTCCTTGAGATGCGAAAGAGCCCCCTGCCTCCCTTCCAACCCGATAGCTGGCTCTGAGCACGGGCCCTGGGGCAGCTGATTGCAGTTGTCTTCGATCGTGAAGTGAGGTTGTCCTAGGCGGAGTTGGGGGCTGCGATTCAGGGAGCCTTCACCTGCCCCGGCTTTTTGGGAGTCAGGGATCTCTACGTGTGAGGCCTGCAGTCTCTTCAGGGACTTTCTCTTCCTTGCTGGATAATAGCAGCTGGGAGAGGAAGCCTGGTCTTCCGGGTCTGCCCAGAATCCTTCGCTGTGGGCTTTAGTGACATCAGTAGCTTGGTCACTTTGGGGAATTCCCTCTCCCTTAGTTCAAAAATAACTGTAAGAAACTGCTCCCTGGGCTCTAGAAATAGGCCCTGTGTCTCAGGAAGTCCTGCTTCCGGTCATTGCTTGGGGTTCCTGTTATTATTAGAAGTACTTCTAGCTTACGTACTGTCAGTGGCTTTATTTCCTGCACTTGGCTGGATGTTCATCTTTGCCACTTTGGTTTTGCAGCCAGATTTGCAGCCTCCTCCAGGCCCCAGGAGCTAGATGGTCACCAGCTTTGTCCACAGAGCATTGGAGCTGTCCTTTTGAAAAGACAGAGGGGGCCCCAAAGGACCATGAAATATGACAATACTGATTTGTTTGTGGGTAACTGAGGAGCTAATTAAAATACCTTGCTTATTCTAGCCTTGCAGGTGAATTGGTAACTACTTCCTGGCTTAGTCCGTGAGAGGAGGGTGAGCAGGAAGGCCAGGCGCTCTCCTGGGAGAGCCTCTCTGGATGGAGTTAGACTTGATGGCGTTGGGCATTGAGGATTCTTTTAGATGCAAAAGCATTGATATATATGGACTAAATTCCCCTGAGGTAGAAGATAAGCAGAATGCCCATTTGCTAATTACAGTATGAGTTTCTTGTCTGCAGTGTCACACACGTCCACATGTCCACATGTCCCCACATGGGAAGGTGGTCAGAGCAAGATGGCAGGGATAGCAGTGGAAGCGATCATACCTGAGTCAGGGGAGGCTGGCTGAGGAGCGCCCCTGTTCCCACACCATTCACATCAGCTCCTGTCCTGCCCTGAGCTGTACTAAGGAGAAGCCGTTCACTCATTCACGCCAGTCATCCCATCACAGTCTTTTTCGATTCACACCTTCTTAAAAAAAGATTCTAGGGCCAGGGATTTAGCTCTGTGGTTTCACTGCCTGCTGCGCAAATGCAAGGACCCGAGTTCGATCCCCGGTACCAAAAGAAAGATTCTACGTTAGGTGCGGTGGTGCACACCGTGACCCCAGCACTCTGGCAGCCTGAGGTAGGAGGAACTCAAGTTCGAGCCCAACCCAGGCAACTTAGGACCCTAGTGAAAGTCTGTCTCAAAATAAAATATAAAAAGGGCTGAGGGTGTAACTCAGCAAAAAGTCCCTGGGTTCAATCTTTACTACGAAAAAAAAAGTGAATGTGACTAATGCTTTGTTTTATTTTCAGTCAAGCCTAGATCAGATCTGGACCCTTTGTTTATCCTCCTTTTACTCTAGAAGACTTGCTGCCCTTAGAAGAGTTCATCTCATCCACTGGGCATTAGTGTAAATGGCGAAAGATTTATGTGACCGGAGTATTGGGATTAGTGTTAACAAATCCACTCTCAATTTCTTGTTTGGGGGAGGGGATGTGTTTGAGATGAGTGAGGGACCTGCTGTTGTCAGGCTGTGCTGATTTTGGTAAATAAAATCCAAAGGGGTGTGAATTGGCTTCAGTTTGAAGTGTCAGGATTTTGTACTTGAGAAATAGGATTATGAAAATTCTCAAAATATCATGTGGAGCTTCCAGGGCCCTGAATTGTTTATATTGATATATGCCTGACAAATTTAGGCTTTCTTTATTCATGTGTTAACTCAGGTGTACTGGTACCACTTTTTTCTTTTTCTCTTTTTCCTCTTTTAAAAGTGGAAGACAGGGCCAGAGGTTTAGCTCAGTGGTTCCACCACCTGCCTTGCAAGGGCAAAGACCCAAGTCCTATACCCGGTACCAAAAAAAAAAAGTGGAAGACAAAAAATTTCTGGCGAAGGGAGGTCCCTCTTAGGCAAGGCTACACATGCTTCTAACTTAGTTGAAAATGTGTTTGGTGCCTCATCAGACTCCTTCCATCTCTGCGTGAATGTTATAGGAAGATGGTGTCAGCCATGGAAAGGAAAAAAACTATTGTTACCTATATTTATCTTTATTGTAGTGTTACCAAAAGGAAAGTAGTGATTTATAGTCTAAAGGTTTGTTTAAAGGTAATAACTTCCGGGAATTCACTGCAGATGAAAGATGCTCTAGAAATATACTGCAGGATATTTTTATCTGTGATTGGCCACATGTTTGATTTCCACACCGAACATTCTTGTTTTTGTTTTTTTTTGAGACAGGGTTTCGCTGTGTCACCCAGGCTGGCCTCGAACTCACAGTGATCCTCCTGCCTCAGCCTTCTGAGTGCTGGGATTACAGGCGTGAGCCACCATGCCTAGTTTACACTAAATGTTCTTAGTCTCATGTGTTAACTCATGTGTACCTGGGCCTTTTGTTCTCTTTTAAGTGTTGACATTTTTCTGCTCGTGCCCAAGATCTGTTGAAATTGGCCCCTTGTTGATCCCGGGGCACTGAGCTGGGTGGTCACACAGGTGGTGGACAGTGAAGTCATCTATTCCTTCCTTCCCTCTCTCCCTGTCCCCGTTCCTGCCCCCTGCAGATGTTGATGAATGTACGGAAAACAGATGTCACCCAGCAGCTGCTTGCTACAATACACCTGGCTCCTTCTCCTGCCGTTGCCAACCTGGACATCATGGAGATGGGTTTCATTGCACACCTGGTAAGGTTTGCGGGGCTGCATCAGCCACTTACATCTCTGGCTCTTTTGAGGGTATCATTCTCTGATCCTCAGCCCACACTTGATTTAGCCTGCTCTGGGGCCTTTGTGGATAGTTTTCAGGCCCCCAGTTACAGTGGACCCTCAAGTTACGACTGGCCTGACATACCAACAACTTGAGTTGTGACCAGAATTTTAGTTTTAACTTACGCCAGATTCTTGAGTTACAACCCAAATGCTGGCCACTCCTGCTTCCAGATGGTCTCAGATACAGATTTAACTCTTGAGTCCTGGAAGGAACATTACAGCATCCTTTCCTGTGTGGGTTAACTGAGAAATCCTGGGCCAGTGTCTCTCTAAGGATACTGAAATCTGCCTGTGTACAGGAGAGAGACTTTGAAGGCTGTGTAGAAGAGCCTGAGCCTCAGTTGACCAACTTGAGTTACAATCAGCTTCTAGAACGAATTGAGTTCGTAAGTCAAGGGTCCACTGTACCTCCCGCTGCTTGCTTCACCTGTAACTCACTGGTTATTAGCACCCACACAGGCTTGGGGTGTGAGCGGCCCTCATCCTACTCAGTGGCAGCTCTGGCTAACTACCCTAGTGATCTGTTTTGCCACGATGAGTGTGATTTGGATGCAATATCTCCGGGGAGCTTATTGAATTGCAGTCATGTGGGCTAGTATAAGTAAGGAGTAAGCACCTTTCGGGGCAGCTTTTGGGGAGCGAGGCCCACACTAACCTGGGTCTTCTCAGACTTAAGCTCTGTGTCCTCCCCACAGTCTCTGGGCCTGTTTGGGTGGATGCCACGGGTTTCTTCTCATTTTACCTGGATGGTGTTAGGCCCCCGAGGACAGGGCTGCATTATATATGAACTATGTTATCTAAAAATACAGTGAATGTTTTAAAAATTTTTTAAAAATGATCATAGTGAAAGACACATTGGTGCTGACCCCTCCTCATACTACTGCTGCTTGCTTTGAGTGCACTCATCCCATCGTTCTCGCCACTTTCTAATGCCGTTCTGGAGTCCTCTTTTGTGTCTTCAGTTGCACTGTCTTGGCTGCCTCAGTGTCCTGAATTGATTTGAAGTATTTACCTTTCATGGTCATTTTGACTTTGGGGAAGAGCCAGGAGCTGCCTGGTACCAGATCCAGTGACTCAGGTGGCTAAGAACACAGCGTAATGTTTTTATGAGCCTGCCTTTCCGTTGGATAGCAGGCACCACATTTTTTCTTTTGGTACCGGGGATCGAACTTGGGACCTTGTGCTTCCGAGGCAGGCAATGGAACCACTGAGCTAAATCCCCAGCCCTACTTTTTCTTTTTAATCACACCTTGTAAAGACACTCACAAAAGAGGACTTCCAGATCTGCTTCAGAAAGTGGCAAAAATGATGAGACGTGCTTGAAGTGAGGAGTGTTTTGAGGAGTATTAATGGAAGTATGTCTTTTACTGTGATACAATTTTTAAATCTAAACATTCGCTATGTATTTTGAGACCCCTTGTAGGCATGAGGTACTTACGGGGTACCTAGAGAATTGGGGACAAACTAGACAGTGGCAGAGCTAAAATAAGAATCTAGGGCTCCCAAATCCCAGTGCTTTGCTGTTATTCCCGTGTCATGCTGCTTTCCAACTGTAGGGAAAAAACTTCTCAGTACAAAAAGACTTTGATGTTGGCTTGTCACAGTGTAGGTCACAGTTCCTTTTATTTCTCTTCGTGTCTCCCTCTGCCCTGGCTCTGGAAGATGCCACCACAGGAATGGAGGCCTGTGAATACCAGCGGCACCTCGCCCAGGCCCAGCACGTCTACCCAGGGTCCCGTGTCCACATCCCCCAGTGTGATGAGCAGGGCAACTTCCAGCCTCTGCAGTGTCACAGCAGCACTGGCTTCTGCTGGTGTGTGGACTCCAGTGGTAACGAAGTCCCTGGCACCCACACACCATCAGGCTCCACCCCTCCCCACTGCGGACCACCACCAGGTGAGCGCACCCCAAAACAAACTTCGTACCCCAGATCAGGAGGCCTGAAGAGGAAGAATGGCACTGAGGTGGGGTAGATTGTAACCCATTCCAGACCATGTGGACACAGGGCTGGCTGTCACCATCCTCTGACAATCACTGTTCTCTGAGGAGCGCTTGGATGAGCTGTGCACACCTCTGCGTGTGTTTGTGTTCTGGGACACACAGGCATGCATATGGCAGAGCCTCTGTCACACACTGAGTGCCAGCCACTGAGACCCTCGTGGAGTTCCAGACCAGGAGTCAAGATTGAGTATCTTGTCAGACTGAGGCACAGTGAGATATCTTAGAGAGCCGGAGGGCCTGGCCAGACCAGCATCTTGTCTAGAAGGAAAGCTGCCTCGCACCTCTCCTTGCCTCTCCCAGTTACAGGACACAGTCTGAAGGCTGTGTTCATATCGATGGGAAAATCACTGAAACTTCGGTGATGGATCCGCTTGTCTCCTCCAACTCCATGCCCAGCCCTCTCTCGCCTCCCCAACACGGCAACGGGGAATCCCTCTTGCCTCCGATGCCCTTGTAAGAGAAGGGAACCTGCATTTTGTTTCTACAATCTGAGATGGTGAGGATGAACATTTGTCATCACCCGAGCTGCCTGTCGGGTGGCACGTGGTTAGCAAGCGCTCAGAGTTGATGCCAGCAGCAGGCTGCCGAGGCAGCGCTCTGCTCCTTGTTGAACTGTTCAGAGATGCGTAAAGTGTTTTAATTATTATTATTATGGAAGAACTCTGATGAAGGACATAGGATTGGTTTGATGCTGTTTTAGCCAAAATGATTCTTTTATCTGTAAGCTTGTATTCCAAGATCCGTTTTTACTACTGAGAAGAGTTCCAAAAATATCATACTATTCTTGGCTTTTAATGGATTATAAGAGTGACCAGAGCTCGAGAATTACCAATAATTTTTTTAATGATCTTATTGTTACGCCCAGGACTTGAGTGGTTCTCAGATCTATATAGGTGAAAACTGGTCACGGCCTTGATCCACAGTGACACTCCTAGTCCCTGTCTGTCCTGAGTTTTAGGAAAAATAATTCTGCAGGTAAAAAAAAAAAGTACATAGAAATCCCATTCTCTCATGGCTTCTCTTTAAAAGGTCTAGGTTCTATTCTAGCTGGGATTTAGAAAAATCAGACGGTTTGAAGATACCTTAGGAGCATGGCTCAGAATTTTGTGCACTTTGTTAAGAGAAGCATGGATTAAAGACAGTGGCTTGGACTGGGGTGTTAATCACTGAAATAGGGACACATTTTTCGGTGCAGACTTTCTCATGGCCGGACTTCTCTCCCTTGGCACTGGTTTGATTTTCGCTGCCGGTTTTGATTAGTCTCATGTGCATAATGGGGTCGACTTGAGGGGGTGAAGACACTTTGTGCCCAAGATTTCAGAATATTTAAGCCCCTGCCAACCAGAAGCAGAAGAGAAATAAAGTCATGGCTGGATTGAAAAGTAGCTCCCAACAGCAAGGAATGAGAGAGATGCCCACGTCCGAGTGACCTGAGACCTATTTCCCAGAGGCTGACTGCTGTGTGCCCGAGTTCCAGACCGAGAGATGGGCCTGGCTGAGTGGGCCCTGGGACCGAGAATGGGTCTTCAGAGTTGAGTGTGGATGGGGCAGTGTTGGCACTTCCCTGGGGTATCCCACCTTGAAGCAGACAGCTAGTGTTGGAAGAAGTAGCAGTCCTGTCTCCTCACTCCTTGAGCCACATGTGGGTAAGGAATTCAGAGTCCTACCATCTCCATGAGGTCACAGAGAGACCTTTGCCTCCTGTGGTCAGGGAGCTACAGCTGCAAACTGAAGGGCTTCTGCTTGCCCCAGACCGGCAGAGTCTGGCGGTGGGCCTGGCTGGATTTGCGCTTGGAGGATTTGATTCTCCATTCTCCCACCTTCCCATGGAGCTGTCCATGCTGCAGCCCCCTTGTAGTATTTCTTTGTTCTTTGACGTCATAGGAGGGTTTTGAGCCAGAGACTAGTGTGAGGTGCCTTTGGGTTTGAAATGGACCACTCTGGCTGCTGGGTGAGTTTCCAGGGATTTAGGGGAAAGGAGAGAGGGCCCAGTAGTGTGGAGAGAGGACAGCCAGGAGCAAGGCCCAGCATAATGGGCTGAAGGCCCTTCAGCCAGGAGGTAGGAAGCACTAAAGCTATCCTCAATGTGTTTTGAAGGTAGAAATGACAGGATTTTATGACATATCACATGTGGAGAGGAAGAGAAAGGAGTCAAGGATGATTGTGTGTGAGCAATGGGGAAAACAGAGGTGCTATTTACTGATAATGAAAAGACGAGAAGAGCAGGTTGATGGGCATTGTGGCTTTGTTAGTGTTACTCTGAGATTCCCGTCACATGCAAACAAAGGTAGTGCAAGTAGACTCTTGGCTGTGTGATTCTGCAGACCATAGGCTTTCAGTTTCAGGAAGTAAAAAGCAGATGCTCTTCCTTTTATTTAAGTAACCCTATTTGGGTAACCCTATCATAAATGAACAAGTTGTTTCAACATCCGGCAACAGAGTCTTTTCAGACAGAAGCACCTGTGCTTGGGACAGAGGCTCCATGGCCCTGTGGCAGCTGTCTGGGAGGGAACAGCTCTGCACAGAAGCCAGCAGGACATCAGCCATGGTCTGGAGAGGAAACCGGAAGGGAAGACACTGCAGAAAAGAAGAGATGAGCTGCAGAAAAGAGTGGCTTTGAGACAGTCCCTGGGTAGGGTGACTAAAGACCTTCTGGAAACTGAGCTGTCTGAGACTCAATTTCAAGCTGTTTCCTGGCTCTCAGCAATGCTAAGATGCATTCGGACCAGGCTCAAGATAGCTTTCCCAGTGGCAGATCTCGGAGACTGAAGTGAGTGGGAAAGAACTGTTGGCTGGTAAGCATCACACAGGCCTCGGAGTCCCCCAAAGAGTCTGCACAGTGCTCTGTCAGCACAGGTGCCCGGGGTGCAGGCAGGATATCCCCATGGGCCTCTGCCGGCCTCAGCAAGATCAGCCCCTTCCCTGGGCTGCAGCTCTTGCCCCGCCTCCCCTTCTTTCTTGATGTGGCCCAGCTTTGATGGCAGCTCCTCCTAGCATGAGGAGACGAGCCCTGATCCCACAGAGACCTGCTTGGAACACAGTTGCTTCCCTGGCCCAGCATCCAGGGGCTGGGCTGAGGCCTCAGTCCTGGACAGGAGGCAGAGGGAGGCGTGGAGGTCAGGTGTGGAGACCTCGAGCTCCATTCTGTCCTTGGCCGGCAATCAAAGGCTTTGTTTCCCCATCTGCTCAGAGCCCACCCAGAGGCCCCGGACCCTCTGCGAGCGCTGGAAGGAAAGCCTGCTGGAGCACTACGGCGGCACGCCCAGGGATGACCAGTTTGTGCCCCAGTGTGATGAGCTGGGCCACTTCAGGCCCCTGCAGTGCCACGGGAAGAGCGACTTCTGCTGGTGCGTGGACAAGGACGGCAGAGAGGTGCAGGGCACGCGCTCGCAGCCAGGCATCACCCCTTCATGTAAGTGTCCCACGAGTCTCTGTAGGGGCTGCCCTCGGGAGGACAGGAGGGTTACCGTGCCTGATGGAAGAAGTCACTTCACCCATGTGCTGGGCCCATTTATAACCTGGCTCGCCCCACAGTCCCAGTTTGGAGATAGTGTCGGTTTTGTCACATGCAGTTGCTGTAATTAGAACAGCTGGAATTCATTTCAACACTCATTTACTCCCCCTCTCCAACCCGGGGCCAGAGGGGACAGTGTCACCCTGGGGCCCCAAGGAGGTTTTATCCCTTCTAAAACAACCAAAAAACCCTTCTTTTCTTTGTTGTGAGGGAAGCGTTTTGTTGCCTTTCCTCCCTAGTAATTGGCAATGATTTACATAATTGATTCTTGAAAAAAGAACCCTAGAAATTAGAATTCCTTTTGAAGAACATCTGGAGCACATCTGGTTAGGGCGAAGAACCTTTGATATATTTGGAGGCTGTGGTATGTGAGAAAGTAATCTGTTGTCCCCCTGTCCACCGCGTTGTTTCTCCTCCCCTCCCTCCCTACACCCTCCTCTGTCCCTTGGGCAGGTATTCCCACCGTGGCTCCACCCACCGTCCGACCCACGCCAAGGCCCGATGTGAACCCTCCGTCTGTGGGCACCTTTCTGCTCTATGCCCAGGGCCAGCAGATCGGCTACTTGCCCCTCAACGGCACCAGGCTTCAGAAGGACGCGGCCAGGACCCTGCTCTCTCTGCATGTAAAGTGGGGTCTGGGTTGGGGTTCGCGGGGCTTCCAGAAGGCCCACTGAGGACCAGGCCACAGGGCAAAGGACTTCCTCCCTGGGCCTGGCTTTCTTGCAGGGAGTGACATCTGATGGACCATGCCCATTCTTTTGGGGGTTCATGGGATTTCAGGGTGGTCATGATTTGCAAGGCGATGTGATGTGATGATCCTGGGGAAATTGGCAGAATCTTAACCCAGGTTCTCAGGGTTCTTACGATGCCAGACATCTCCACAGATCCTGGAAGCCAAAAGGACAGGAGGTGGCAGCTACAGAGTGCAGTTTCGGGAGTCAGTTGAGAGCCCCAAGTGGAAAGCAGACTTCCACAGCCTCCCTGGCCCTCCCGCCCATTTTGGCTGTGTAGCTTTGGCTGGCTTCTTTGACTCCTTTGCAGGGAAGGTTCAGGGAGTGTAATGCTGGGGAAGGAGCAGCTGGAGCCTTCCCTAGGGGATGCTTGCTGCTTGCTGAGCCAGCAGCCTCTCAGTTGCCAAGGTATTGCAATTCAGAGAGGGATTTCTTCTCTAAAATGGGGTAAAGAGAAAGGGTTCCCCAGAAGGACTTTTACAAATACAATTGGGATTTGCCTATTTCTAAACTTCACACACAGGGTACTTGCTCATCCAGTAGAAAAATGGTACGGTGCTCATGTTGATATTTACTTGTTAATGAATTACTTATTTGGTTCCTAACAATCTTAAAAGCAGCCAGTGTTCAGAAAAGGATGTATTTTTCTCCTGTCTTAGGATTAGAGGGATTTTGCCTCTCAGCAGACTCAAGCATGTTGTTTTTTAGTAGAAGTTTCTCAGAAAGAGGTAGAAAGAAACTTTGATGTTGCCGCCACCTCACTCTGGCCCATCTTTCATTCTAGCCACATGGGATGGCTGGAAGACAGCTCTGAACTGTCCCTAATGGGGCAGAGTTGGGGTGGCTGTGGTGGAGGAACAAGAAGAAACAAGGCATAGGTTATAAGCTCATCTTAGGGAAATTTACTTACACTGGGAAATTCTTTGCATGAAACTTTGAAGTCATTATACATGGGTTTAGGAATATCATGGCTCCCTAGGTTAGCGCAAGCCCATATGAATATATATGTGCTCTTGCCTGGAACAAATGACTTGCTAATTTTCAAGTAAAAGGATCACTGGTCTGAGGTTCCCCACCCCGTACAAACTGCCTGTCTTGAGCAGCCTTTGTAGTCCCCTGTGCCGACTGCTCTCTCCGTGCCGAGTCAGGCCAAGCTCCAGGAGGCTCGGCTGGCCAAGGCTGCAACTGATGGACCCTCAGGGACTGCCAGATGGCCTCTGGATGTCCTCTCTGCACATCTGCTGGGGCTCAGAGCAAGAGTCTGGGTTTGCAACCAAATGGAGCAAGTCTTCTGTGGTGTTGAAGGAAAGAATATCCAGTCTCAGCATTATGATAAAAAATGATCATTATTTAGCAAAAAGGAAGGAGGGCAGAGCCTGTTGGCCAGGGTTGGCTGGCCACAGTTTCCCACTTCTTTACCTCATCAAATTACAGACTTTCTTTCATACAGAGTACAATGGAAGACTTGTTTTGTTTATAGTAGGTGGGAGTATCAGTGATTGTACCTCAAGGAGGGCAGAGATCTCAACCGGTGCATAGGGGAATAGAGAAATCTTGACAAATTTTAGAAAGGCTCTTTCAAAAAGTACCAATAACATTTGAAAGGATTTAGCTTTTGTCCAGGTATTAAGGACTTACTTTGCTGAAACTATGTCCTCTAATCATCAAATTATTGCTTTTACTGCCGGTAACAGCACCTATTTATTATAGCACCTATGTCTGTATCCTAACTACTGATTATGATACTTTATATGCATTTATAGTATTAATTTTTGTAGCCTCATTTTGCAAACTGAGGGGACAAAGGCACGAAGAGTTTTAAGTACCAGTGCCACACAGTAAGTAGCCCCAGGGAGGTCCCTACTGCCCACTTCCCTTAACACTCTGTCCACTTTCTACAAAACTAAGTGCAGGGTTGCTTGCTGTAGCTATGCATGAAAGTGAACTTGAGGGAGATTCCAAACAATCCCAGTTCTTCTGATTGTATGATTTGGTCCACGAAGGGCTCCATAGTCGTGGGAATTGACTATGACTGCCGGGAAAGGATGGTATACTGGACAGATGTTGCTGGACGGACAATCAGCCGTGCTAGCCTGGAGCCAGGAGCAGAGCCTGAGACTGTCATTAACTCAGGTGAGTGACTTCACTCAGCAGCGTGAGCTTTGCATTTCACTTATTTTACTAAGTCACTTGACTGCTTTATGCCGAAGTCTTCTCTCTTTTCATCGAACAGGGGAGGTTAAGTCCTGTGCAAGTCACTTTTTTGAGCTGTACAAGACTGACCTCTCTGAAAACAAACATGTTCACATAAAGAATGAAAAAGTGGGGCCGGGGATTTAGCTCAGTGGTTCTGCCACCTGCCTCGCAAGCTCAAAGACCCGAGTTTGATCCCCAGTACCAAAAACAAAACAAAACAAAAGAATGAAAAGGTGATTCTGATGATGATGAACTCTTCTAAAAAAAACAACTAACGGTAGGAGTTCAGGTAGTGATAGTTTATGCTCCCGGCCCATCACTACGGATGCTCGGTGTCACCAGTGTAGTGTGTCTGTTAGCTAGAGGTGGTAGAACAAGTAACAAAAGCATCGCTTTCTCTGTTAAGCTGGTTCCAGGAACTTAGAGACACTCAGGCTCTTTTTTTTCTTTTTTTAAGATGTTCATACATGGCAGATCTCCGCTTGAGTTCTTCACCCTCACACCCTGCGAGTGTTCCAGCCCCACCTTTGTTCCCATTTCAGGTCTGATAAGCCCAGAAGGACTTGCCATTGACCACTTCCGGAGGACCATGTACTGGACGGACAGCGGCCTGGATAAGATAGAGAGGGCCAGGCTGGACGGCTCCGAGCGCAGGGTCCTCTTCCACACCGACCTAGTGAACCCCCGCGCCATCGCTGTGGATCCGATCCGAGGGTCAGCTGGCTTCCTCTGCATCTTTTCTCTTCCCTGTAGATCCCCTTTTCCAGCTTGTGAATATTAAATACAGTGTGGGGATGGAGAAGGGAGCGTGATAGAGTATTGAGGACGTGTTGGGTGTCAGGCACTCTGTAGGCAGTCAGGGTGTGTTCTTTCATGGAGCTTCGTTCTGTTAGGAGAAAAGGAGTCAGTGAACAAATGAGAATCGTATTAGGCGCTGAAGTGACATGGGGAGAGTTCAGGGTGATGAGGGGGCAGGGGCTGCCTGGGCCAGGGAGTGGGTCCCTGCCCACTTTTAGAAACCGTTAACACCACAGCTGTGTTTCCCCCGTGTACTCACTGGTGAGGCTCAGCGAAGCTCAAATATTGGGCATGTTACTCTTCTGGGCTGGCTTTACTGTAGTGAAGAGTCGAGATAAATGTTCCCTATCTGGGACAAACGCTGAGGCCATCAACTGGGACAAACAAGACTTAGTGGAACCTGGAATATTTTCGTATTTGAGAAAATCTCACCGTATTTGAGTAGAACTTCTACCCAACAGAATTCCAGGGAAGCCCTTCAAATCAGTAAAAACCTTCAGCAAGTGGTTTTTGACTTGCACATAGCAAGTATGGGGCCTCAGAGTGGTTCTAAACTTCAGGTTCTACACATGGGGAAGGTAGATCTTTCTTTATTGTACTTGATTTAGCCATAAGAACCTCCCAAAAGCTTTGAGTAAGCTTGCCTTTCTTCATTCACAGCGCCTATTAGTTCTGGTGCCTGGCCTAAAACCAGGGGGAGCTGCCAGCTGGTAAGCAGGGTGCCTTGGCCGTGTGCTCCATGGTTGATAGGAAGAGGCATCCTTTAAAGCTGAAATCCACATCACAGCCAAGAGTTTAGAATGAAAGCAGAGCGTCTGCCAAGCCTTGGGTTCAAATCCCAGCACACACACACACAAAGATGAAAGTAGAACATCCTTGTTCCTTATCAAGATAGCAAATAGTAGGACTTTAAAAATAATTTAATGTAACACATGTAACTAAATCTTCCACAGCTGCTTAAGGGCTTACTCATTAAGTCTTCCTGTGTATTTCTCTTCCTATAGATCTTACCCTTACAATTTTCTTCCTCAGACAATCCACGAGTAATTTGTACCATATGATTTGTGTCTATGTGAGCTCGTTCAGGACTGTTTGCAGTGTCTTAAATCATTTTGGGAAGGGGACAGATCAAATGATGGAGTGATAGCACACTCCACCCCATGGCTGCTTCTACCTTAGCACAGAGCAGAGGGGGCTTTCTCGCTTCCAGCTCCACCTTCCCCAGTGCTTTATGGGTTGGGCAGAACTATAGGGCAACCTCATGAGCTCTTCCCCTTTGGTTTTCTCTGTGTTCAACTGACACATTCTAAGTGTCCATTGCTTTTTATTTTTGGTACCGGGGATCAAACTCAGGACCTTCCACTTTTGAGGCAGGTGGCGGAACCACTGAGCTAGACCCCTGGCCCATTTTGCACTTCTTAACAGGGCATTTAAAACTCTTAAGTGCCTCACTCAGTGTTTCCACCCCAGGACCAGGGAGATTCTCCTTTAGCAGATGCCATATCGTGTATTTCCTGAGGATTTCTCTTCAAATCTCTGGTCTAAGTTCCATGGTTTCTAGAGCCAGACCCTCCCTAACAACTTCATTTCTTTAAATGTTAAGCCCAAGATCCAGTTCAAGATTTCAACAAATTTAAGGGTGTCTGGGCAGTTGAGTCAGAGGTGTTCCAGAGGCAAAGATTTTGATAGGGCCTTAAAATGATGACTTCTTCCACACAGTTGTAAGTACCAGAAAACCTTGTGCTGTAGGTAAAAGTAGGATATGGCTATACTTGAGTTATCAGTTGCTGTGTAACACAGTGCTCAATATCTTGGTGGCGTAAGAGGACAAACATTATCTCACTTTGTGTGGGTCAGCAGTTGGTGTGGCTTACTGAAGGCCTCTGACCTCTCTCACAAGGATACAACCACGGTGTACTGTACTGGCCAAGCCGAGTGACCTCAGAGCTCAGCAGGGGGAAGGCCCAGTGGGCTTCCTGTCCTGGGCAAATGAGTACCTTTTGTCTCTGTAGGGTCACCTGCAGCATGGCATCTGGCTTCTCTCAGTGGGCACGAGAGACAGTACCCAGGGTGGAAGCCAGGTCTTTGAAACCTAAGTTGGAAGTGATGTCCTATCACTTGTGCCACATTTCACTCACTAGAAGCAAGATACTAAATCTACCCCAAGCTCAAGGGCATTACTTAAGGCTGAGCATACCTGGAGATGGAAACCAATGATGCCTGTCATGGATGCATGGCTTTTTATGGGGGTTGGGGTTGCTGGGGATTGAACCCGGGCTTCCCATGTGTTAGGTAAGTGCTCTCCCAGTGAGCTACATCCCCCAACTCCTGCACAGCTATTCTTTTACAATCTTGCTTTTAAAAATTTACCTACAGCAACTTGTATTGGACCGACTGGAATAGAGAAGCTCCTAAAATTGAAACATCTTCTTTAGATGGAGAAGACAGAAGAATTTTGGTTAATAAAGACATTGGATTACCCAATGGCTTAACTTTTGACGCCTCCTCTAAACTGCTGTGCTGGGCAGATGCAGGTAATACTGATGAAATACATTACAGTAGATTTGAAGACAAATTTTACTATAAACCTAAATTCTATCATTTAGATCTTGATTTAAGTTTATACCTGTACAGCAAATCTATTTGATCTGTAAAGTTTGAAACAATTTTGTAATGATTCTAACTTTTGGAATTTGGGTAACAGGGGGCTGAATTAGGCATTAAGTTTGTGCTGTTCACCTTGCCCAACATGAGCACTTGGCAGACTTGCATTTGAAAGTATAGTAGTCACTGTTGAATTCACAAAGTTAAATAGAGGTTATTTTGTCTTTTGGGCCATTATTTACAGTCAGTATGTTATGTTGCTGCGGACATTCTTTGAAAGCAATGTCAGAATACCTTCTAATACATTTAGCACCTAGCTTTATTTCTGTTGTGTGGTAGAATACAGCAGTATCTCAGCTCACGAACACTTTTGTTTGCAACAATTTGGTTTGGCAAAATTTTGTTTTTGTTTGCAAACTCTGCATCAGGTGATAAACACGACCACAGCCATCTTTTCCAGAATCCTGGAGCAAATTAAGTTCATGAACTGAGGCACCACTGTAACTGAAAAGATGCTGTGTCTGATTCTACTAAAGAATATGAAAGTGTTCTTGAATTTATAATTAACAAGGATTATAATGTGTGGCACTTTTATGATACAGCCATCCAACTGTATTTAAAAGTACTTGAAATAAATTTATCTATAAATATCAAAACTTAAGAAACACCTGTTTAGCTATTGCAAACTTTTCAAGATTGCTTCCTTTACACTGAAAAATAGTCATGTTACCATTTTAGCTGCTTTATTTTTACCGAGAGAATATTTTTTTTTAAATTAAAGATTTTGGTTAAGTTTGCTTTAGCCATTATATATTGCTTTGCAAAGGGCAAGTATTTACCTAGATGTTTATGACAATTTGAAGGCTGTTTGAAATTATATAAACTCTAAAAATACTTCGTCAACTTTGGAAGAAACCTAGCCAGACTTCAGCAGATTAATACCTCTTCTTAAAAAGAATTGTTTGAGGGCCGGGGATTTAGTTCTGTGGTTTCACCGCCTGCTGCGCAAGCGCAAGGACCCGAGTTCGATCCCTGGTACCAAAAAAAAAAAAAAAAAAGAATTGTTTGAATTTGTATTAAAAACAAGAATGCTACCGACCTAGGGACTAGTACTAGAACAGGACATTATAGTTGCTAATTTGTGTGGCTGTGATGGGAATGAAATGTTGTCTTGGTTTTTTTTTTTCTGCCTTTTTTCCCCTTGAGAATCTCCCACTAATTTTGGCACAGTAGGTTTTGTTTTCTCCGTGGCATGAAAGGGTCTCACTTCTCCCTTCTGATGTTTTAAAAGGAACCAAAAAACTGGAGTGTACACTACCCGATGGGACTGAACGGCGTGTCATCCAACATAACCTCAACTACCCCTTCAGCATTGTGAGCTATGCAAATCACTTCTACCACACGGACTGGCGGAGGTGAGTCAGGCAAAGTGGGCCGGAGAGCACATTAGTCATTCAGCAAGTTCAACTTGGTTATAAGCCCTCTGCTGAGGTTTCTGGTTCATTATCTCATCATTGGGCACATTAAGGGATTACTACTTTTGAAATCATGTACTGTATTTTACCCAGAAATTTAATAGTGTTGCTCACAGGTAGCTGAAAAGCAGCAAAGCTACTTGATAAATCAAAAAAAGGAAGCACATTTTAAAAAATCTGTTCTTCAAAGATAAAGATTACCCTCAACTGGGGACTGGTACCTACGTCAGGTACATCATCTGGGTATGGGATTTGAGCTCTTCTTCTTAACCCTGCAGAGGTCTTGGGTGTTACCCTTACAATAAGCATTTGTATCTCTATCAGCCACAACCTCCGAAGGTAAATAACAATATGGACTTACTGTGTACCTGGGAGACTAAAAATGCTATGTAGACTAGGTCTCTAATGAGGATCTGGGGAACATTTTGAAAACAAAACAAAAATGATATGTAAGTCCTTCTACCCATTCCCTACAATTTTAATTGGTTTGGCATGAGGCTCAGGCATCAATCCCTTAATAGATGCTCATGTGCTTCTACAAGCAGCCAGAATGAGGACAACCTATGGAGACTAGTGCTTCTGGCACCAGGATCTCCCCAAAGGCTTACTGAAGCATATTGCTGGGTTCCACCTGTTTCTAGTGGGTAGTTTAAGGGGGCCCTGAACTTGCACATCCTGTAAGTTCCCAGGTAATTTTGGTCATGGGACACCTTGAGAACCACTGGTAGTGCACACATTTTCCATGAGTAAAAACTCTTGGTTAAATTGATTTTAAAAATGTATTCTAGAAGGCTGGCAGAGATTTTTCTCTACTGAAACTTTATCTTCTATTTTCCTAGTGATGAACTTTCCATGAATTCACTCTTCCTTTCTGTCACCAGGGATGGTGTTATATCAGTAAATAAAGACAGCGGCCAGTTTATTGATGAGTATCTCCCAGAGCAGCGATCTCACCTCTACGGGATAACTGCAGTCTATCCCTACTGCCCACCAGGTACACAAACGTGCTTTGGGAATCGCCTTTGAATTACTTAGCAGGGTACAGAGGGGATCAAGGCTAACTCATTACCTCTGCTGCCACTGACACTGCTACCACTGTTGTCTTTACTTCTGAGCTTAATATACACAAAATAAAAGACTTGTTGTTCCAACTCAGTTACAGAATATTCACCACTGCCCTCTTCCCTCACAGGAAGAAAATGAATTCCACAATGTAAAGAAGGACCTGATGTTTACAACCAGAATTCTGACCCTAAAGAACACTTACTGCAAAGGAAGAAAGTGAGAAAGAAATTAGTCATTAGAGGTTCCTGGACATACAAGACGAACATTTTTAGTGCAAAAAGACTAAGTATATTTTGTGAAAAGTTTATACCTCAATCTTTACTACTGTATTTTTAAAAACAAAAATTGTTACTGCAAGTTCTTAAAAAAGGTCATTTTAATAGTTGCTTGTTAAAAGCAACATTTTGTAAACATATTTAAAAGGCCAAATTCATTCAAGTAAGAACCAATTAAGAACTTAAGAACCTGAATCTAATTTTTGCTATGGATTCTTTCTGGCCAAGAAATGAAAGCATGTGTGTTCAGTGTGAAAATACAACCCTGAATACCACCAGTGTTGATGTAGCTGGAGAAGGTTATGCAGAACTGACGGCAAAGAACCAACTTACAGTTTCCCACCAGAAGTTCTAAGTTCTCTTACCTCTGCATCGGTGCATTTCTATTTATATTACAAGGTGCTAGAATGATTCAATTTATATTTTCTGATCCCATAAGTGCCTCTACAGAAGTAGCCACCGGTATTACATTTATAAATACCAAAGAGTAGCCATTCTCAAATTTTCTACATAACTCCAATAAAGTATTTTAAATTTTTCTATGACTTAGAGATTTAAATTGTCTCTGTGACTAAGCTGGGGACTGGTATACACCTTAACCACGGAGGAAGCACTATTCATACAAACATGTAACAATACATTGTTTAAAGGAAACTTTATTAAAGAAAAAGGTAATCGTGGTGGTAAATCTCTAGAACATAGTCAATTTTCTGGGATTCCTCCCTCCAAAATGAGATTTGGTTTCCAAATACATGCCAGAAGTATATAGTTCCCAACTGTACTAAGTAGGTAAGAAGCAGAAATCTAAAGTGTTCATCTTCCAACTTTCCCCAGTCTGTGGTCTGTCTTTGGATCAGCAATAATTGCCTGAACAGCTACTATGGCTTCATTAATTTTTGTCTGGAGCTCTCTGAGTTCTTCTATATGCAGCAATCGCAAAATTTGAGCAGCTTCATTAAGAACTGCATCTGTTTTATAAAAAACATTGCATTAATATGTGATTTTTGTATTTTATTTCATTTACCAAGTCTTTTAAGATAGTATGAATTAAAACAAAATCACTTACCTCCTGTGTCAAAACCAAGAATATGTTTGTCTAAAGCAACAGGCAAACCCTTAAAAAAAAAAGACAAGATGAGACTATAGTTAAGAATACCATTCTTTTTTCATCTGAAACTGTGAAAAGCAACTAGCTAGTTTAATTCTTAGGAAGAATGGGCAGGGATCTAAGAATCTGTTGTTTCAACCTGACTTGTGGTATGCAAGTTTTCCCCTGTTAAAACCAGTTAGGGAAGAATGGCCTTTAAACGTACTGGAAATTCCATGGCCTGTCCAGTCCTTTAGACCAGGCATGCAAAATAAATCCTTACTGCAGCAGTGTTTTGTCACTTCCTGCTATGGAAGGAGGGTTGAGGGGTGTTATTGTCCCATTTTAACTACAATAAGCAAAAGTGTATGGCAAATGACACAGGACTACTTATAATATTATTTTCCTCAAGTAAATTTATCTCTGGACACACTAAGTTGTTTTTAAAAATTACACAAACCTACTATTTGCATATTTTTTTCCAGCTAACATGTGTACCAGATTATATATAATTTAACTTTCAATAGTTCATTTGGAGGTTACTCTGAACAAGTCTAAGAAAAGAAGAAAAACAAAGCCATTTATTTACCTCACCAGTCAGCACCTACATTTTGATTACTGTCTGTGAACACTCCACAATAACTGTCCAAAGTTGAGGAAAGGCAGTCTGGACTTTCTGATCATACTGTATAAAATCATTACCAGTTACACAGACACACATCCTATACTTCCAATGTTATAAGCTGTCTCTATGCAGATACTTTAGTTATTGCAAACTTCTTGCCCAATCTACAAATGCAAATCTACTTAGGTGCCATCTGCTTCAATGTAGCTAAGAATTATGTTCTATCAATGAAGAAACCACGGGGATAAATGCAGAGTGAGGAAAATAAAGAGCAGACTTGTACTGGGTGGTGCTGTATATGTCAGTCTGGTACTAGAGGCTCCAGTTTTCCCTTCGTCTCCCCATCAACCACGAAGGACAGGTACCAGTGAAAATTACCATGCATCAAATATTGCTTACCAATGGTCACAAACACTGGTTAATAAACTCTGAGAACTTCACTACATTAGTACAGCCTGGAATTTTTTGAGATGACACTAAAATTAAGATTTGGAACACGGAAAATAGAACTAAACTTTTCTTTGCAAATAAGAAGACTTGACTATGTCTTTATTTCTACTGCCTTTGAAATTGAAGACATAGTTTTGCTGAAGGAATCAATGATTTTATTATACCAGAACAATTTACCATCTGTTCTATAGTGTGGGTGAAATAAGCTGATCTTTAATCCAATTTCCACTGGCCTAACTCATACAGTATTAATAAGTCAGTAAAAACCTTCAGAAGAAAATAGTGTCTTTCACTGCAGTGTTGCCCTGGCATTAGCAACCTTTCAACACTGCGGGGCCTTGCTAATGGAGTCAGAGGACAAGACACTGGAGGACTTGGGGGAGGGAACAAAAAAAGACGAGAGTCCAGAATGGGGGTTGAGCCCAAGGGATTCAGCCCACATCTGTGCTGCAGGAGGGGTCTTAACAGACACCTACAGTGTTACTGCTAATCCTTGAGGTCATCATCTGCGGTCAGTGAGGCTTTAAAAAGACCCGGTATTCTGATATAATCTTAAAATAACCCAGAGGTATGTTTTTTATTGAAAAGGAAGTTTTGTAAAATGGTTTTCGTAAGCCCGCAAAGTACGACTGCAAGATGGTATTTCAGTCATGTGCACCCTGGACTGTATACTCCTGGAAGGCCCAAGCCTGTCATCCAGGCAGATCTGCAGCTCATGGGCCCTCGTCCCCACCCACTGACAGCACAGGCTCCAAGTAAGACGATCTGAGCTCAACCCCTCATCAACCAGATGATCTTCCCACAAGTGACTTCCTCATGTTTTATGCCAGGAAGCTGAACAAAATGAGATGACTTACTCTGCAGGCTCAAAAGAGCAAGGCCAGATTTAGGTCAAAAAAGGAAATTAGTAACAAGGAGAAGATGTGTGCTCTGCTCTCTACCACTAGTCAAAATAATCCAGTAAATGTCACAAAGGTAAATCCTTTCAAATAAGTTTCAACTGGGCATGTGCAATATTTTCTAGACTGCAGATGACCTTTAGGTGGCGGCTTTTAAGGGATGAAGTGAGATAAAGCTGACTTTTCAAGCAAATGATCCTCAGGAACTAGATACATTCAATTAGGTCTGAATCAAAATCAATCACACTGAAGGAAGCCAACCTTTCTCTGGGCTATTCTAACTCAGAATGTAACTCTTGCACACACATTTATGAAGTTTAAACTAATGGCAATACCAGAAAATATTTTCATTAATAACTGATTCAGAATTTAAAAAACATACATACCTCTTTTGTTTGATTTGCTTTAGCAACTGCATCCTGTGTTAGTCGCTCCTGAACCAAAATGCGAATTGCCTAAGAACCCAAAAATACCATGTTTACTTTTTTTTTTTGTACTGGGGATTGAACTTGGGACCTTGCGCTTGTAAGGCAGGCACCGGAACCACTGAGCTAAATCCCCGGCCCTCCATGTTTACTTTTTATAGGCTGTTTATAACTCACCCTTTCTTCTCTGAATCTATAGATACTCCCAATAATTGGAAACTGTTTTTAAATAGGTAACAGATGTGGATGGTTAAAAAACAAATTAAGAATACAGAAGTTATATGGTAAAAGGTAGTTGTCCTTCCTCCCCTGAACCTAGCCATCCTCTAGAAGACATTTACTGTTAGCAGATTTTTTGTTCCATTACAATTAGTATTAAATTACAAGTATGCTTCTGCATGGACAATACAGCCTTTGAAGCAAAGAACAGCACATCATATGTACTGTCTTAAGTCTTGTTTTTCCCAGTTCACTCTAATGAAGTTTCAGGCATTTCAAAGGGTGCATACTTGCTTTTAATCACTATGGCATTTCACTGTTGCAAGTGTATTTGCCTGTACTTAAACACACATTTTTAATGGAATTCAGGGAAATAATTACAATTCAAAAATAAGTGTGAACACTTGAAAAATTAGTCTTAATAAAAATCAAATGCTATATTTGAAAAAGGCAATTATAACATTTAATAATGAGTGATGCCAAATAGTTAATGTACTGATTCTCACAGCTAGCAATCTAAGATCCTCTCCATATTATCATGCACCACTTGCATGTTTGTTGTTTTTTTTTGGTACCAGGGATCGAACTCAGGTCTTTTAGTATGCTTTTTAAAGTAACCCAAAGGGAATAAACATGTAGCTAGGACTAGAATTTTATAAAGCTTTTTTTATAGCCGATGTACAATTTTTCCTATTAGGTTTTCAAACCCTTTAACAAACCCATCCCAAATATGCTTTGCACTGTCTGTTTCTCCTCTCATTTAGTTTACAATTAAAGCTGACAGGACCACTGTAGAACTATTCTTAGGAAATTTACATAACTGAGTAAGGAACAAGCCCTTGAAGCAGCTAAATTTCACTACAAACAACTTTTCATTTTTTCCAATCTGGGCTTAGAAAATCCAAGTTAACATTCAGATTCAGTGTAGAGAATTATAATAAGATAGGAATAAAATAGTACTTCCTTTGTTAAAACTGCCATTTAATGCATAAGCTTTCTAAAAAGTAAGCTAAGCTACATTATGGTTTAACCCCTTCTGGGTACAGTGAAGTTTATTCAATTTAGTATTACAAAGTAAAATAATTTACATATTCAACATCTATTTAATATCTTGTTAAAATCAACAATTTCTAAAATAATTTCCAAGTCGGATATCTTAGATACCACACCCCTGTCCTACCTGCCTTGTACTTCCACAATTATATTAGGAATAAATCTTCTGGAGTATATTGTCTTCTCTCAGAAATAAGAGAGCTCTTTAGATCACTACACTTCCTGATGTGAAGATATGAACTGAGTGGCCCATCTAGGATGCGTGACTCAGAGGTGGAATAATTCATTTCCCAGAGCTTCTATGTATATATTTTTGACCAAATTCCCCACTGCTAATTTGGTGCATTGCACTGTTTATAAATATAAACCACAAGTCCTTAAAAGGACTGAGCAAACAGAGGCAGAGTAATGAAGGCAAAAAAGTGAGCCGTAGGGTCAGAGTGCTTGGATTCAATTCTGGGCTCTGTCACTGTCTGTGTCATCTTGGATGTCATCTATCCTACTCTTAGTTTCTTCATATACACACTTTTTTGAAAAAGGCTATTAGCATATATCTCTGTAATTATTAGAAGTAAATGGAAATTATCCTGGTAAATATTAAGGACTGCCTGTTTTAGTCACGTGGTTACCACTCTGTGATGTTACGTATCAGACATCAGACATTTTTTATATAAAATAGATAAAAATATGAAATCTGCTTTACGGCCACATTCCTCTACTGTATTTTAGTCACTCAACCATAAATTTTAAGTATCAATACCTAGAGAAGTTTAGTTTTTCAGTCATG